CCCTGCTGCCACCGAATTCTAGTTGAGTCCCGGCTGAGGTGACATACACTGCGGCGTAAATCCCATCGAAATCGAACGACGTGTAAGTTAAGTCTCCACAAGTAAAGCACGTTGATGGGCTTCCGAGACCGTTGCTGGGGAAAACAAATTCAAAGTATCCTTAATAGCCAGTTGTAACCCCCCAATATAGCGCGACACTAACTGGTCGTTGGATTCCCGAACCTCGACACGGTTAAGAAGGCGGTAAAAATCATCTGTATATTCGTCAATAGTTCTTGCCCCTTGACGCAAATTTTGTAGTTGCTGATATAACGTGCGTTCGAAATTAAATGGTAAGAACTCACGGGCGATATGCTTACGTAATTTATCCCAGGAGGTGATTTTCGATTTCCTAAGACGACGTCGGGTTGATTTGTGGTTTTGCCACCAGGCGGCGGCTCGACCACGCAGACGTGTGGCGACGAGGTCGACTCTACGGTCATCAGGCACCTGTTTATACTCCAAGATTGAATCCACTGCAGCAATCCAATCGAGATAATCGTTCGCATCAAGGCCTCCGCCGAACTCCAGAATGTCCACACGGAACACGGTCTCCCAACGTGTGTCCCCACCCCTGGAAGCCTCACGTGGATCCCGACGAGCCCCAAACGGATTAACCTCGGACGTGGTGTCATCGTCGTCAAAGTCCTCGTCATCGAACGGAGGTGGTGTACGGTGGCGGGGCGCCCCACCAAAACCCCGTCCACCGCGCCCTCCTCGTGTTTCCCCGCGACTGCCTTGTCTGCCGGCAAAATCGCGGTTTTCGTTGTCGCCGTTGCCGGTATTGAAAGCCACTGTCAGTTCCTCGATCCTCGACGTCAGGTCCGCCATGAGACGGTCAGAAGCCTCTGCTCGGCGCAATAAAGCATCGATGGTCGCGTCCCGTCGTTCATCGACCTCGTTACGTCGTGGAGCCATCGTGGAACGTCCCTGGACTCTGGATACCAACTGATGCAGACCCCAGTAAGATATTGTCCGCTTTGGGCTACTTCCGCCACCCGCACGACTTTGTTCTTGGCTGGGCTTCAATACACACCCACCAAAACGCGTCTTACTAGTGAAGGTATCCACATCCTCATATAAGGCCTGCTTGGTTTCCTTTCAAACCCGATGTGGGATGCGCTGCATCATCCACCCCCCTTGTGGGCCCAGCGGTCACCGCTGGCACATGGGCTGGCTCTGATACCAACTGATGCAGCGGATATACGAAAATGGGAAAAGAACGATCAATTTCACGCAATAAAAATGTTTCTCATTATTCTGCCTTCAAGTCCCAGATTACAATCCATAAATAACAAATAAAGAGTCCTTCTTGCAGCCAAATACTGACCAAGTCTACTAAATAAAATACTAACTTAAAAAAATAAAAGAAAGCAATAAATATGAACGACTAAATTTTTATTTTGGCGTCGGAATGCGATCATGCTTCTCCAAAAAGGCTAACGCGAGCTCGTCTTCATCAGAACAATTAATTGATTTTTCTTCTTGGAGCTTCAATGTGGAATGAGCAGCAACATAGACTTTCTTTTCTTTGGCAAAAAGCAAAGGAAGGATATTAGTTCTTGGGCATAATATTAGAGTTGTGTGGGCATAATATTGGAGCAATATTTTATCTCTTGATATTATTTTGTTATTTCGTATTTTGTTAGTTTGATTTGATAAAGTGCATCTTGTTCAAACTCGCATTTTGTTAGTTTGATTTGATAAAGTGCATCTTGTTCAAATTCGCGTTGTGTTTTTCGTAAATCACTAGATGTTTTGGATTTGTTTGAAAAACATTGTGGTTGATTTGTTCTAGTGGAATTTTGGCATGTGGCCTTAGTCTACAAGTATTTCACTTGTAGGCTAAATTTTGAATCGTTCGTGTTATTTATTTCCGCTGCGTATTTTAATTTCTGATCATTCGTGTGAAAATCTGGATATTTACATACCTAAAATTCTAACAAAATCTATTATCAAATAAAATATAAATATTTCTAACTTACTGGCCAACAAAGAAGGGAAATCTGCATAGGAATTCTAATTAATTAGAAAGCACAAAATAATTCTTTGAAAAAACAATATTTACAAATCCAAACAATGTGCATATTTTTCACACGCCTAATGGTTAGTCTGCCTTATATACCACAACTTAGCGTTTCGAACAACCTAATAGTTCGTCGGCAACTCATAACGGCACACCGGACAATAATGGCTCGTCCGAAGCCACTTCTCGACACACCCATCGTGAAAATCGTGCCCGCACGGCATTCCGACCACGTCGCACCCCTTCTCGAACTCGTCCATGCAAATCACACACGAGCCGCCAGTCGAACCATCGTCCCGGGCTCTCCACGCCCTCTTCCCCACAACCATCACGTCTCGTATACACGTCTCGTCAGTCGGGACCATACGAACCTCGTGCTCCTCCATCGACCGGTCGATGACATCATCATATAGATCATCGTATTCATCGTCACCGGCATAATCGTGCGCGGCACACCTATAGTAGTCCGCCGTCACTTGGAATTCCACCTCGAGCCGGCCGTGGGCCAGGGCCTCCTCCGGGCCCACGTGCGTGACGGCTTCCCGGGCCCCCGCGAGGACCGTCTTCGCCAGGAACTGGCAGCCGCCGCGCGAGATGTAGGGCCACTGGGCCTGGAGAAGAGCCCGAATGGCGCGGCGGGCCGAGTCGGATCGGAAGAGGTTGGTGACCGGGATGTGGTGCTGGAGCCAGGGGAGGGGGTAGTTGATCTCGGGTCGGGCCGGGTTGGGCAGGTCGAGGACGGTGTAGCGGCAGACGCCGGAGAGTATGAGCCTGACGGTGAAGTGGGTCGTGTCCGTGATCGGATGGCCGTGGAGGAGGAGGGTACGGCGGGCGGCGTTGAGGGAGAAACCGCAGGGGTAGCCATAGGGAATCTGAGCCATTGGCGTTATTTTTCTTTTTCTTTTTCTTTTTTTTTGTATTTTATTTTATTTTATTTTTTACTGCTACTATTATTATATTTTATATATATATAAGTAGTGGAGATTAAATAGGTTTATTTGGTTTTCCTAATTAAAGAGGTTTATTTGGTTTTTCTAATTGGATTTAAAATAGGAAAAATATTTATTCCTCTCTTCCAAAGAAAAATCTGCATATGCATGTTAATAAAAAAAATATACTTAAATAGGTAATTAACCTATATATAATATCATGAAGTGGGTTCTTATGTAATTTATATTATTTATTACAATTATATAATAAATATAGTGATTCTTATTTAGTTTATTCATATTATATTTATATTGTATATATTTTCCTAATTGTTAAAATTTTAAAATGTGATATTCTCATTATATAACTTTAAATATGGTATATAGGCATATGATGTATAATATTTTATCTGCATATGTGCATGTCCACATGATCGACCACTAGTTTATATTTGTTACGATTTGAGGAAGTTATGATGAGATTATTCTAAGGGTAATTAGTTAATAATCAATTAATTAACCAATGATAGAAAGTTAACTTGGGCTAATGACCTGATCAGCTAGCCCTTGGATCGTCGGGTTAACTTTGCTCGAAAGATAGGTGGGCTACTTGTAAAACTTCAAATGGCCCAGATCCGTGATAATATATTATCACCCTTAATTTAAGTCCAGTACTCTGTGAACCAAATTCATTGCTTGGCCCAATAGATTTTATATTAAAGTCCAAGTACTTTCTGGTCAAAATTCAGGCTAGGCTCAACATATTTTATGATGGCCCAGTTCATAAACAAATAATCTCTAATAATAATAATAATAAAAAAAAGGTATTTTTCCTCCAAATTATTTGACCATCTCATATATCCAAAGGAAAGGACTAATTAACTGAATTTTAATATGACTAATTAATTTAATGGAATTAACATAAAATAAATCTGTCCTTAGCTAGCTATTGAACAATTCTTGTCTAATTGCTTATATGCATGAGAAAAAGAAAAAAAAAAAAATATATATATATATATATATATATATATACATTACTAATATTTGCAGCCAAATGGATAATTAAATTTTTAATCTTTACTAGAAAAATAAAAAGATGCTATAATTATGTCATCTTTGTAATATATAGACTAATAGTTAGATATATATATTTTTTTATGATTTGGTTACTTATTTAAGTAATCAGAGAATATAGTATGATTTACTTGTTGTATATAGAAGGTTGGTTCCATAGAAAAATTGGGAAATTTGATCGTATTACTGTCACTCATTTGATATTTTAACATTCTAATCTTCTAATTATCATTTATCTAACAAATATTTAGATTTTTTTTTTTTTAATTTTAAATATCAAATTCTATTTTGAATTGTTAGTAGCATCACTCCTGGCTCTAGGTATGTATTTAAAAAATAAAATAAAAATTGAAAAATGATCCAAATTTCACATATTATTGACTGCATGTTTAGTGCAAATTGTTTTTGATTATACAACTAATATATGATCAAAATACATATAAAAGATAAATTATATAAAGACAAATAGCACAAATCTTCAAATCAAGATCACACACATATATTATAGCATTGAAAAAGTGGATATAATAAGTCCTTTAATTTTGCCGGCCAAAACACATAATCAATCACAAACCCTAGACAAATAACCATTAGCTAGGGAAAAAAAAGTACAAGAGCACACAATAATCTTTTTTTCTCTCTCTTTTTTTTTTTTT